ACGCACATGCACCCGGCATGAGTTTAAGCCACCAGGTCCGGGACTCGAACCGCGGTCGACAACGTGAGAGTCCAGCAATATAGCCATTACGTTAACTACTGGTCCCGCCACTGATAATTCTTTACAAGTCCTCTTTCCAGGCACATAGCATGTTGGTCAAGGAGGAGAGTGTATCTGGGAAGACACACTGAAGATACCCTGCATATTATCCTAGTTTAAAGCTGAAACATGACTTCATCTCACTTTCTATACATGTACATTTCCAAAATTTATTTAGAAGAGCATATTGTAGTGTGTGTTTGTTAAATTCTAGCCCATTTATCAGATTCTAATTAGAAAATGGGATTTAGTAAAAGGCTAATATCAAGACAGATGACTGAGTGTTCACTGATGTTTTCATCTGACTATAGGTTTGTACTTTTAGAACCAGTGTAGAAGTCTGATCATTAAGAACCATACTAGGAAAAGCATTTGGCCTTTGTGACTGTCCCATATTGATTTTAGTTATGAGTTTAACTTTCTAATTAGGATATATCTTTATTCATCCATATAGACAAACCCAAATGCAGAACAATATCGGCAATTTCCACCCTTAGGTGTTTGGTTTTAAAAGTAGAACACGCTAGAATTATGTCCAAACATCCTTCTTGTTGCTACACAAATCACAGTTGGGGGCCAGCAGATGGTATAGCAGGTACATCACTGGACTCCCACATGGTTGACTATAGTTCAAGTCCTGGAAACAGTGGCTTGATAACCATGCTGGGCACGTGCATGTGTGTACCCAAGATCCTTGGAGGAGAATGGAGAAGGGACTGTGGTGTGGCCATCCCCATCCTCCTGGGGAGTGATTTCCCACTTTCATTGTCTCTGTCTTTCTCTCTGTCTCTGTCTCTCTCCCTGGTGAAGACACTTGCTTTAAGGTAAAAATGCTTAATAAAGAAGAAGAAGAATGGCAGTTCTTGACCACTCTGTATTTATAATGAAAACTCTAGAGTTATAGAGCTGTTTTCTGCAATTGCTTTTCTGGAATTCTCAAAATGCAAAGTTTACTTTTTCCAAAAGAATAAAACATGACAAGAAAGACTCATATTTCAAAGCCTCAAAGGAAAATATACTCTAAAGCCTCAAAGGAAAATATACTCATTCTTTCCACAGTTTGATTTGCTAAAATTTCAAATGAAAGAGAAAAATACCTAATTCCAATTTCATACATTGTTTTCTTGTCTTTTTTTTGTTAGAGATTTTTGCTATAGAGCACATGTGCTCACCAAAGAGAATGAGAAACAGAAAGTGAGAAATAACTCCCCCCCACCCAGGGTTGATGACCACACCACAGTCCCCTCTCCTCCATTCTCCTCTTGGGATCTTGGACACCTGCGCACACACTCAGCATGAGTTTTAAGCTGCCAGGTCCAGGACTCGAACCGCAGTCAACTATCTGGGAATCCAGCAATGTAACCATTACACCATCTGTTATTACCACAGATTTCATACATTCTGTACAAATAAATTCAGTATGTATTTAGTTTCACTTTAAGGAACTCTACAGATATACCAGATACACATTACAACTGTGGTATTTTATCACTTTTTTTTTTTTTTTTTTTTTTGGCTATTGGGGGA